GAAAATTTCTTGGCGTTACATGTAATTTTTGCCGAGATAGGAGGGGTCGGATACTTATGATTTGTACTGTACATGTACATGTTCGTACATGTATTATGTTTGTATACAGCAGCAAACCATAAACATCAGACTGATTTTAATTAACGTAAAATTCTACACATAAGTATATCCAGATAATAAAATAAGCGGTTCTTAAGAATAAATTCTGTTTTTAAATTTGATATTTGTTTATTGGAATGGGTTAAAAAAGAGCTATCGCGATATCTATGCATTTTTGATTTAACGTTATCATTAATAATATTGCTATTCATTTTGTAAAGAATGCAGAAAATGAATATTCTGTTTCAATATATCAAGTATAACTTAAAAGAGCTCTAAATAATAAGTAATCTTGCGCATAAATAGAGTGAAGAATAAGTATCATTCTAAAATTAAGACAAATTATGTATTTAATAAAGCAATTGAGAGGCTTTCAAATAATTTGAATTTGTTTAATTATGTTTTGTAAGTGTAATTTTTATCATCATTATTTCGAGACATTGTCAAATTTCGATCAAGTCCTTTTTTTTAAACACAACTTCTTTTGTCTCTTTCACAAATAAAATGTCGTACAAGTTAACAAATGGTTTTTAAAGTACTCATTATGCAAACTTAAATTATATGTTTTATATACAAAAGCAGTTTAGATTTACGAATAATGAAGGACCATTTTAAAGCACAATATGTTTATATGTTAATAAAGTCAAATCTTGCTTTAACTGCATATCAAACTCAGTAAACTTTGTCTATAATTCAAACATTATATGATTCTTTGACTTTCAAGTTCTCTCTTCAAGACTAAATACCAATTTTAAAAAATAGTCTGTTATTTTTTTTAATAAACAACTAATAATTTATTAGATAATGTGTATTATAAATAAGTTTATTATAATCTGAAAGTAAATTTAATCAAGAAGACATCACTAATCTTGTAATGCTAAATTATCTTTACTATAATTCACGATCCTTAATAACTAAATGTACTTTAAGACAAAGGTCTCATTATAACACATGTATTAATTTTAAAAGATTTAATATCAAACTTCGTTTCTATCTTCCATAGGTTAATCCACTTTGACCTCCTTCACCTCCTCCGGTTACTCCTCCAAGTAGACTCGATAATATTCTGCCTAATCCTCCAACTAATCCTCCAACTGGACTACCTTCTTCTGGAGTAGAAGGGGGATCTCTTTTGGAGTTGGTAATAGGTAATCCAAAGACCGTGGATAAACAAATTACAATAAGAACTATGAGAAAGTGGTTGCATTGGAAATTCATTTTTATGTTTTTGGTATATCGAATTTTTTTTTGAAAAGTAGCTAATGGAGTTTCTTTATTTATAAGAATTTTTTCTATCATGATTTGTTTCACGTATTAAATTTTATTATGATGCATTATTACCATTACAAAGGCATCTTGAATGATGAAGTTTAAATTTTCTACAAAATGAGTACGTTAGTCAGTGCTCTAGAGTACACTTTTAATATATGCATCATTAAAGGAAGGAGTTAAAAATTCCATATTTTACATGTACATGCATAAATATTACGTAGCAATTACAATATGTGCATCTTTTAGTTGCAGTAATGTCAGCCATATTACATATATTTTAATGCATTAATATTTCTTTATTACATGTAGTACACGTTCACATACCACTACGAATATGTGAATCTTTGAGTTACGTACGTATGTGCGCCTTTCAGTGTACATGTACATGTAAGTTAATTTTTCAAATCTAATTACATGTACATGTACGTAATTAGATTTAACTTGGACTTTTGTAACCGCAACCGCATAAAGAGCTCTAGTTACTGTACATACTAAGATTTTACGATTACATACATTTGTGAATGTATAATAGACTTTTACAAAGTGCATATGTATATGTGCTGTTCACTAGAAAAGGGGCAACTCGGGTATGATGCAGTAATTATAACAGTAAATATTATAATTTAAAGTTTTATAACTTCTTAAATTTAATCCGTAATACATGAACATTAAATTTGGTCATATTTGATACGTATTCACTATTACATGTACATGTATAGAAAGATGCAGTGAGATGTAAATATTTGTGTATTTGTTTTTGTTCCGTCGAGTGTATATCGGTCACAGGATATGTCTCTTCCAGTGTATTAATTAACGTTAATGGATCAGCAAATGCATAAAGCATTGTTACACTTATATGTTTCTTAGTAGAATAACGGAAAACACACTTTTTGTTTCTATCATAACATCATAATATTGCAAATTCACTTATTTCATGAAATTAATTGAAATTTATTTTCAAGTTTTCTACTTTTTATTCTAATTATCGTTGCTATAACTGAAATATTTTTTAAAAGATCTTTACGTAAAAACAGTAAAATTCAGACAATTGTAC